ATCCATCTCGCAACTTGTCCTTCCGGATTTTTGAACTGCAATAGCCATTTCAGTGCAGCATGGTCAGTTCGTAAGTGGAATTTCCGCCCTAGAAGATATTTGCTAAAATGCTGCAAGGACTTTACCACAGCAAGCAATTCCCGTCTTGTGACACAATAGTTCCTTTCCGGCTTTGACAACGACTTGCTGAAGTACGCTATCACAATCTCTTGATCACCATTCCGTTGAGACAACACACCGCCAAGTCCTATATCACTTGCGTCTGTGTCAACTATGAATTCCTTGCCCGCATCAGGGTACCCCAAAATAGGTGTTTTGCACAGGCGGTTCTTGAGCTCCTGGAATGCAATATCGCAACTTTCATCCCAGCAGAATTGTCGCTTCTCCTCGGTTAGCTTGTGCAGAGGTTTGGCTATATCTGCAAAGTTCTTCACAAATCGCCGATAATAAGAGCACAAACCCAAAAATGCTCTAACCTGTGTCTTGTCTTTTGGGACCGGCCACTCCTTGACAGCAGCAATTTTCTCTGGATCCGTGCGGATACCTTCTTCCGACACTACATACCCCAAAAAACTAACTTGCCGTTTGAATAGTGAGCACTTCTTTGGACTCAACTTGAGGTTGGCACTCTGGATCTTCATGAGCACGCGTTCCAGGTTTTGAAGGTGTTCCTCAAACGTACGGCCTACGATGATGATGTCATCCAAATAGACCAGACAAGCATCTCCAATTAGCCCGGTAAGTACAAGCTCCATCAACCTTTCAAACGTTGCTGGAGCATTGCACAATCCAAACGGCATGACTTTGAATTGCCACAGACCCTTTCCTGTGGAGAATGCAGTTTTCTCCTTGTCCTTAGGGTCAATTTCAACCTGCCAGTAGCCACTTTTCAGATCTAGCGTACTGAACCACTTTACGCCTGTAAGCATATCCAGCGTGTCATCAATTCTTGGCAAGGGATAGCTATCCTTCTTTGTAATGTCGTTCAGGCGGCGATAGTCAACACAAAACCGCATGCTGCCGTCCTTCTTCTTTACCAGCACCACAGGTGAACACCATGGACTAGATGAAGGTTCAATAACACCATCCTTCACCATTCGCTCAATCATGGTTTCCACTTCCTTTTCACGTGCTACAGGCAATCTTCTTGGCCGCTGACGAATAGGCAATTCTTGTCCTGTGTTTATTTTGTGTTGAACTAAGCCAGTCTTTCCTATGTCAGCTTCGTTTGACGAGAAAACATTGGCGTACTTGAGTAACAACTTCTTCGCCTTGACCATTTCATTCGGGGAAAGAACGCTGCGACAGTCTTCCAAAAGTGTGGTCACTATCGTTTGTCCATCCTTGCTGGGGGTCCCGGTCGATAGATATTCGCATCGACGCAACCAATCCACTTCCTCACTAGTACCAACCAATGTGCCTTTTTCTATAATCTGTTCCTGATCACAAAGGTTCAACACACGTACTCCTGAGATGTCGGTGGTTCTGACCAAGGTTCGAGCCACTTTCCATGAAAGGTCATTGTCTACCCTTTCCACGAGTACACAACGATGGGCTTGCCCAGGACTCCGAGGAAGACTAACCGGCACAATCGTTTCCGATCTCGGCGGAAGAACAATCTTCTTAAGGCTGTACACATTCCCTGGTAACGCCCCTTCCACGAAAAGTTCTTCTTGTCCACATTTCAAAACACCTTGCTTAACGTCGATCTCACAACAATTCTTCCTCATAAAGTCTAGGCCCAGGATGCAGTCGTCCATTATATCAGCCACGATGACATTATGCAGGTAGATCATGTTGCCTAGCTTCAACTCCATCTCCTTCTCTCCACGGACGGGTATGCGCTGACCGGTGGCTGTCACCAAATTAATGCGTTCTCGGTTGTATGCGGAGTCCGCAAGGAACCGACTTATAAGTTGGGAACTGACAACCGTGCGAGAGGCTCCAGTGTCTATGGTCAGTTTACACGGCGTTCCGTTGACTTCGCCCTTGATGATTAGGCTGTTCCCATCATGGGTTTGTGAGATCGAAATCCTTGGGGCTCTTTTAACATCAGCCAGCACCCGCCCCGCAGTCCTGGCTTTTACTCGTTTCCCTGCTGCTGCTGGGCGGTGCTATTATCCGCACTACCCTCTCGAGATCGATCACCTTCCCTTTCTACAGTTCGTTTAGGGCAGCTGGATCGAAGATGGCCCCTTTCCCCACAGCCGTAGCACCTAGGGTTATAGCCCTTATTGCGGTCCTGAACTGTAGCTGCTGCAACCTCCCTGACGCGGTGGGAACGATGATCCTGCCGCACGGCTTCCACCTCCAGTGCATGGGTCAGGGCGTCCTTAAGCGTCTGGTGGTGCCCGAGCCTCACAGCAGCTCTGACTTCAAGGTCGCGGATGCCGTCGATGAAAGTCTGCACCAGGTTCCCTACAATGAGCACAGGTACAGACTGGTACGCTTTTCGAACCAGCTTCTCCACCTCAAGGGCCCACTGCTGCAGGTTTTCGTTACTGCGTTGCAAACGATCTTTGAGCTGCGCACGAAAGACGTGTTCCAGGTGAGCATCGCCATATCTCGCCTCCAATGCCTCAAGGAGCTGCTCGTAAGTCACTTCCTTACCGAGCGCTTCCAAAACAGTTAAGGCCTGGTCGCGTAGGCCTAGGGTGAGAGCAGTCATGGCCTGACTTTTATTCCAGCCGTTCGCTTTCATGACAGCCTCGAACTGGATTTTGTAGGCCGACCAGGAAGAACTCCCGTCGAACGGCGGCACTTTGAATCCACGTAGCGAAGGTGTTGTAGCTACCACGGGAGCTGTGATTCCATCCCCAAGTTTGAGGTCGTCCAGCGTTTTCTTCACATCAGCCATCACGTTGTCAACCCGATTGTTCACTTGGTCGATTCGGGTTTCAGTTTCCGACAGGCGGTTGTCATGTTGAGCAACCCTATCCTTCACCTCCTTTATCTCTTTCCCGAAGGTAGCGTGAAGGTCCTTCCTGAGGAGCATCTGTTCTTCCATACCGCGCTGCAGCTGCTCTTCCAGCCGACGGGTTTGTTCCTCCTGTCGGCGGGCCTGTTCCTCCTGTCGGCGAGCCTGATCCTGCAGCATCATCATCAGAGCACCCAAGTCAGGTGCTGCAGATGCAGGAGCTGCTGACGGGCCAGCCTCCGTGGTTAGCAACTGGCCCTCCGACGTTTGCGGCGTTGCATTACCAAATCGTCTCTGGTCCGTCTCCTGTTGGCGTTGACTTCGGGTACGGATACCCTCCGTGTCGTCTTTAGGTAAAATCGGCATATTTGATCCCACTTCTGACACCAATTGTTACGAGCTTCGGGTTCGAGACAATTAAAACCTGCCGACTGAATTACCAAAATTGACACTTTAATTACACAACACTAATTACAATCAAAAATCACACTAATAATAAAACACAGTTCGCCGTTATTCCGCTTCGAAGTATTCTCTTGTATCGCCAATTCAATACTGCCCCGGTCGTGGTCTATACCGGTCTTATATAGGGCCTCAGATAGTTTCCAGAACCTTCTACTGTAGCGACATCTAGAATGTTCGAGTACATATCGGTCCCGAAATTTCTGGAAGGATCTCGACTCTCCTAGTTCTGCTACTCGACACTAGAGGGCTCTAGTGTGACTAGTGTTGCCATGTACAAGACATTAATAGTGGCGCGCAATACTTTCATTTACTCGACACTAGGGGGCGCTAGTGTAACTAGTGTTGCCATGTACAAGACATTAATAGTGGCGCGTAACAATATTATATGAAGAAAACGACTTATATGCATTACTACCATAGCTTTACTTTTTCATTTGCGGGATAGGCAGGGAGGATTTTTCTTACTTACTTACTACTTTCACTTAATTTTTAGTTGGTAGGTATTGTATTCAAAGTATTCATATAGCCTCATACAGTTTCATTCGTCACATTCTTGGTTTACGCGGGCGACTTCAGGATAATTTAAGGCAGTGTTGGTTTACCTGAAGGTTCGTGATGGTCATATATGTATATCTTAGGTTAGCACTGCCGGGAATATACAGATATATAGTCAATTATGATCATCTTTGTATCCTTGCCATGTGAATGTTTTAATGTATTTTATTAATTTCAAAATCGAATAGTTTTTTAATCTTTTTTGAATACCACGCCCTATAAGTCTGATTTGAAAAAAGTCCTTTAGTTACGACCTTCCGATTTGGTCAAACCGCGAACTCACTTATTATGCTCATTATCAAGAAAGCCCACGTATTGTGACGGGCAACCGACACGCACTTCGCCAGTTTTTTTAATTTAATTATTATGTTTTACAAAATTGTTAAAGAATGTATTTTCTATAATATACATATAACTTACATTAAAAATTAACTGTATATATATAGTTAATTTTTAATGTATATAAATTTAAACAAATACAAGAAATTATTTAGGTACGTAAACAGTGTTTTTTGATTTTAACATTATTAAAGGAGAATGAGATTTTTGGGTCTGAAGTTAACAAAATGGTTTATACTTTAAAAAAATTGACTTTATTTTTCTAGATAAAAAAAACAAAAACTGTCTCGTTTTACAATCTAGAATTCAGAAAAAACATAAAAATAAGAAATAATTTATAAAATCATGTATTATCTTAATTTTATTATATATATATATATATATATATATATATATATATATTATATTTTTAATATTAACGATTTAATATTGACCTACTCGGATCCAAAAAAAAAAACTAAATAAAAATCTTCTAAGGTTTCATTAAAGTTTTCTTATTTACTTTGAAAGATATTTGAACCCAATTGGAAATAAAATTTATTATCCGTATAATGAAAAAAGAAATAAACATTTTTATGTCAATAAATGGATTAAAATAAAGAATCGTTACACTAGTAAAAGTCTCGTTTTTGAACGCTAAATGTCTTTTCATTTTAAAACTTGGGTCAAACTACAAGACTATTTTAAATAAATATTTTGAAGTACATTCTCTGCATTTGTAAAATTAGACTCTCCAGATGCAGACGATATGGTCGGGGCAATACTTTTCTTCATTTGTGAAACGAGTCACTCCAGATATGACAGTCGAGGTGGTCGGTGCAATATATGAAATTTTGTGTGCGGAGCGTTCTTCTGCAATGGTGAAATGAGGTATCGCAATGGATTGGAACGTTGTAGTATTTTGAATTGGATTTAAGGGTAAGGTAAAATGGGTCAGTTCAGGGGAGTGAACCGTTCCAATAGGTACAGAAGGAGCATCCTTTTCATTCAGCATCTCCAGTTCTGCGTTATGCACTAATTGAAATAGTTTACCTTTGATGTGCAGTTGTTTCTTTTTATCAAATCGTTGTACAGTTCTAGCCATACTCATAAAAAATTCTATTAAAGGATCTTGGTGTACATTAATATTATTTTGCGCAGAATTATGTGGCACGTCTTTTTGTTTGGCCAAATACTCCTTTAGTACTGCTGCTACACTAGTGGTAGGATTGTCTGTGGATTTGTGTGATGACGTACGGCTATAGGGGCGAGTTGGAGTGTACCTCGGTAATGGTGATTCTGAATGTTGGGAATCATCTCCTGGAGAATCAACTTGTGAATACAAAACATGTGAAGAGGACGTTTCTCGTACTATTTCACGTTCTGGTAGTGATATATTAGAAAGTCTATGTTCTTCATCGTTTATATAGGAAGTGAGGAAACTCAACTCCTTGTTATATTTAGGCGGTTTTATTTTGCTTGCGGCTTGACCACTTTTGGTCTTTCTTAAACTCAACGCCTTTCTATAATTTTCTCGTATTCTACTCCATCTTTCTCTGCATACTGTCCCTGGGAACAATTTTTTTTATAAAATTAAGAAAATAAAATGTTTCTTTTCAGGTTTTTCGCAACCGGCAATTCATTTACATCTTTGTCGGATAATTTTCGTATGGGCGAGAGTACAATTCGTGCAATAATTTATTCAACATGTCAAGTAATATGGCAAATACTACAACCGATTGTGATGCCTACGCCAGTTGAAAATTTGTGGATGTCATCAGAAATAACTTACCGAGAAAAGTGGAATTTTCCAAATGCTGTTGCGGCTCTTGACGGTAAACATATATTATTTCAAGCTCCGGCTCACAGTGGCTCTATGTATTATTGCTACAAAAAATACTTTAGTACTGTGTTACTGGCATTGGTAGACGCAAATTACAAATTTATTGCTATAGATGTTGGCGCTTATGGTAAGAATTCAGATGCCAACATATTCAAAAATTCTAATTTGGGAAAATGTCTAAGCGACGAAAGCTTAAACATGCCTCCACCAAAAGCACTTCCAGGAGGAAACACAGTCGTACCACATGTAATCATTGCAGACGAAGCATTTGGCTTGAGTACGTATTTAATGAGACCTTATTCACGTGACGACATCAGAGGAGATGAAGGAAAGAAAATATTTAACTACCGCCTCAGCCGGGCACGAAATACAGTTGAAGATACCTTTGGAATATTAGTGAAAAAATTTAGATTATTTGAACGGAGATTACTTATGAGTCATGATCATACTGTCACAGTCGTATCGGCAATATGTTGCTTACATAACTTTTTACGTGATGATACATGCTATTGGTCAGAAAGAGATCAAACGATTACGTTGAGAGACATGAATGCACTGGAAAATTTCAGAGGATTTGGAGGAAATTCAACCTCTGATGCCTTGGCAGTAAGAAATGCCTTTAAAGAATATTTTTCTTCGGAAAGCGGAGCAATTCCGTGGCAAAGACGCAGAGTGCGCGCTGGAAGGCTGTCACAGTGATTTTATAAAACCAAGTGCGCGTCGGAATGATCCTCTCTGGCCAGACCACCATTCAGTACTCTGACACATTAGAGCACATTAAAAGGTACCTATAGTATAATTTCCTAGACATGTATTAAAAACAGTATCTACTTCGATAGATTACGAAATAATCAAGAATGAAAGTGGTCCCACCGCAAAGCATTGCTCTCCACCGCGTCAGCCTGAATAACAAAGAGTATTATAATACATTAAGAGTACGTTTAAGACTAAGAGTAAATGTACCACAACAAGTTTCATAGTATAAAACTCAATGGATTAAAATTTAGAAGAACAATGTTGTCCGGCTGCAAAGTATACTCTGGAGCGATCTTTCATCATTCATCTTTGTAATTATAAATTATACATATGTGTAAATCTATATTAAATAAATGTATGTTTTCTGTACTTTTCGTGCATATATTTTTTTATCTTAATATACTGGGTGGCGCCCAGGTTATCACGTTAAATAGCACAACAGTTAATACAAGTTGATATATGTCTGTTAAAATAATAAAATAAACAATAATAAAAACTAATAAAAAATGCATCTTTCAAACAAAATAAATAGGGTAAAAAATCACATAAAATAAATCATCCTTCATAATATTACTTAACTGACCTGAAATGACTTGTAGAAGCGGCAACGTCGCGGCCAGCGGTTCATTGCTCATGCGACATCAATATAGGTAATTATATTATAATACCTAGGTCCTAGGACTTGCCCATACATAGGTAATTAGGCACGCGTAGGGCGATGCTAATCCGATGTTATCAACAAATCACAAATTTCATGGTATTTTTTTATCCAAATAGTCACTTTAACCTTGAAATCACTCAAGTTTATGAAACAAATCAAATTTTTAATTTTTCAAAATGTCCGCCGTGTACCCGAATGCATAATTGACATCGTCGCATGATATTATTTCGGACTTTTCGAAAGAGGGCACCATTGGCTGCAAAATTTTTTATTTTGTCGAAAGCCCGCATTATTCTTATTTTTAAGTCCTCGACAGTCGTTACTTCAGTAGAGTACACCTCATTTTTTATGTAACCCCATAAAAAGAAATCTAACGGTGTTAGATCCGGAGACCGTGCTGGCCACCGAGAAGGTCCGTATCTGCCAATCCAGTTCTCTCCGAACATCTCAGTGAGGCGCTGCCTGGCAGCCACCACTGAATGAGCAGGTGCTCCATCAAGCTGGTGCCATAACCGGCTATTGGCCCCCAACGATAGTCCATCAACGTAATCCGCCACTGTGTCGTCAAGCAGTTCCAAAAATTTAGGCCCATTAAGGTTGCCTTCGATAAACACGGGACCAATTATTTGATCTCCATGTATTCCAGCCCAAACATTAACGGCAAATCTATATTGGTGCATAGACTCTCGACACAGTTGCGGATTTTCTTGACTCCAGTATCGTAAGTTCTGCCGATTCCATATTCCGTTACGCGTGAATGTGCTCTCGTCAGTCCACATTACGTTTGCTAAAAAGTTAGAGTCATTAGCTACTTTGCTCAGGAGCCATTCACAGTAGGCTTCCCTAACTGGCTTATCTCTATCTAATAAAGCCTGTACCTTTACGTATTTGAACGGCCGTTGCTTGTTTTTTTTTAATATTCTGTGAACAGACTTGTGGTGTACACAGAATTGGCGAGCTGCTCTACGGAGACTTGATGTTGGATTACGAGCGAAATAATTTAATATTCGTTCTTCCTGAGCCACGGCGACTCGCGGAGGAATTTCAACCTGACGTGGAATCAAATTTTCGCCGTCACGTAATCTTTGGACTGCCCGTATAAAAATCCGTGAGTCTGTAGGACATACACGTGTGGTATTATACCTCTCTCGGTATGTTCGTAATGCCAGGGACGCGTTTTGGTGGCATTCTCCATAAATTAAAACCATATCGGTGTATTCCAATGACGTAAAATTGATACGAGGCATTTTAAAATAAAAAAAGTTATACGTTTAAAAAAATAAAAGCGTCCAATTGCGCACGGGCTGACACACCACTAAGTTATTAAATATCACTTATCTATTATTAACGAGTCCTATCACAAATAAAAAATACAAGACAGTAAAAGAAAGCGTCAAATTTCGCACAAATAGTCACACCACCTCCTCAACACAATTATTATTATAGTATTAACGTGTCCTATCACAAACAAATCAAGAAACTTATGAAAATATCCACAAAAAAAAACTTTAAATTAAAAGGACGTGTACGCGAAAAACTAAAATTAGGTCAAGCGATTAATGAACCGTTCCTAAGGACGCCGGCGTCGGACTAAGTGACTTACTGTCTTATATCGTTGCACGCGCCAATCGACCACATTCCACCCCCCCAACACCCCGTCCCAATTCTTGTCGCATCGCGCATAAGAATTATGCCTTATTTTGTTACATATAAGTACATTTTTTGCTTAATTTATTACTTTATTTGATTATTTAAAATTGGCAACGTTGCACTATAATACAATATAGGTCTCTTGGCCTTCACGGGCCATGGGTCTTTGAACTTCTAGTATTTATCAGGTGATATCTGATGCATTTACATGATGTTGTTTAATATTAAAACAAAAAAAAGGCTACCGCGCCCAGAATGTTAATTGTTATATATTTTTTTAGTTGTGTATGTTTAAAGAACTTTGTATAGAATACGTCTTTTCATTTAACGTGATAACTTCATCGTCACTTTGTATATAATAAACCTTAAAGAATATTGCGTAGACATTTTTCAGCAAATGAAAAAATCTAGTTTTTCTTTGCAATTATCATAATAATTGTACAAATAAAACTATTGGTAAATCCAATTGTGCATGCCTTAAGCGCATTAAAAAAAATAAGTATAACATGATTATATCTATAAAATTTTAAGCAATTTAAATAAACACAAGTTTTCACTAATAACCTTATTACTATACTTCCAACTTTTCAATAATTTTATGTCATACTTCAATTTAAAAAAGTAGAAAATCCAAAAGTGCACGACTCATAATGCTCATATGATAGTGAAAAAAATAAAAAATGTAAATATCTTAATAGTTCTATTCGTCAAAGACAAATATTAATAGTTCTATAAAAATGTTAATATTAATAGTTCTATTCGTCAAAGAGTACCAGTAGCAGTCACCGAAGTAAACCTTGAAGTCACTCCGTCAAGTCCAGAGGTAAGGTCTCATAACTAACGAAACGAGCCCAAACTCCGCACATCTAGTTCATCTCGTAGAGGAGTTCCAGTAGCAGTCACTAAAGTACACTTTCAAGTCACTCTATCAAGTCCAGAGCTAAGGTTTCATCAGAAATAACAAAACGAGCCTAAACTCGGCACATATAGTTCTCGTCGAGGAGTTCTAGTAGCAGTCATCAAAGTATAGTTACAAGTCACTCTATCAAGTCCGGAGGTAAGGTCTCATCCTAACTAATAAAACGAGCCCAAGCTCGGCACATCTAGTTCTCCTCGTCGAGGAGTTCCAGTAGCAGATACCGAAATACACTTTCAGGTCTCCGTTAAGTCCAAGACGTATAAGTAAATATTTGTATATAAATCCTGCGTACATTTAGCACAGAATAAATAATAGTTTAAAGAACAGAAGGATCACTCTGTGATAGCAATCTTGCGAGTTTAAACTTACTTACAACGTCGCTAATGTTCATAATACTTTGCACGCCTCGGAAGTGACCTTCGTGAAATTAGCCTACCGTTTATTTCATCGAAAAAAAATTATGTGGCGCGCGTTTTAAGTCAAAATGCACCTTACGTCCCCGTGCGAGTGTCTGTATCACTTAGCCCGTCACGCGCCTTTGTTAAGACCGCTTCTACTTTAGGGTTAGGTGTTGTGAGAAAACAAATTGAATCCTTTGATATTAGTTGCCATATAGTAGAATACACCGAGGTGTTATACAATGTATTAGTATGCACACCGGCACAATTAGCGGAACAGAAAAAAAAGTGAGACTATGAGATAATAACGCATATATTTTACGAAAATGTAATTAAACACAAAATAACAAATTGATTATCATCTTTTAACAACGACTTTGAAACGTCTTCCTTATTTTTTATTGAAAAATAAAGAAATTTGAAATAAGTGAAATTTTTAGATGATTATGAACCATCACAAAAAATAAAAAAAGTAAGCATTAAATGAGCTTTTAAAAAACAAAATTGCCTATAGAATAACAAATTTACAAAAAACCATTAAGTGCAATTTTTCAAAAAAATTACAATTACGTAGTTATTACTCGAACAAGTTGACAAAACGTATTGTTCGGGAAAATAAAACAAATGAATGAAAAAAGTGTATGTCATCTAATTTTCTATTTTCAAATTTGACAATAAATTAAAAAAATATCATAACTGGCCAGTTCCTCAAGTAAAAGATTTTAAAATTCTGCTTTTTTTGTGTTCCGCTAATGTGTTCCGCTAATTGTGCCGGTGTCTATATTTTTTTTTGTTAAAAAAAACCGTAACCCCCACACTAGGATTTTCTTCTTTATCGTGAGGCAGTTAAACAAACATAAATTGCCATAATATGCATAATTGCACATAAAAAGACAAACATCTAGACCCGGAACAATTATTTGTAGGCCATACGAGTACTTGTTCCGTGCGGGATTCGAAGCCGCGGTCCAGCGTTGCAACTCATTACTAAGCCACTGCGCCACGGAGCCATGAATTTGCTGATTATAAAAACTTTATTGTTCAATGTGAGGAAGGTTAATGTGCAACATCGAGGAAAATTAAGGTTATAACAACGTGAACGTCTTTGAAACTCATAATTTACCCACTTACCATTTTGAACCGACTTCAGAAAAAGGAGGAAGTACTCAATTCGACTGTTTTTTTATGTGTGTTACCTCAGAACTTTTTTCTAGGTGAATCGATATTGATTATTCTATTTTTATTTGAAAGGCGGTGCTTATAATTTAATCATCCCATATAAATTTGATCAAGATCTGACCAGTAGTAGGAATTATCATTAATTATGCGTATTAGTATTGAAGTCGGTTGTACAAAATTTTTAATTTCTTTAGTTGCCTCTCTTCCTCTCTTTTTAAAAAACGTTACCACCACACTAGGATTTTCTCCTGTATCGCAGGGACAGTTTACGTACATAGAATAGACCCAGAACAATTATTTGTAGGTCATACAAATACTTGTTCCGTCCGGGATTCGAAGCCGCGGCCCTAAGCCAATGCGTCACGGAGCCGTCACTTGTGTGTTTCACATTTTTTGCTAAACCAATATATGCTGATCTTCCATTAGTAGGCAGTCACTAGTACTGGGAGGCCTACTTACACTGAACGTTTTTTTTAAGATCATTGGCATTATACGGGAAAACCCCGAAAACTGCGTAGTATGTATGTAACTATGGCGTCAGTAACTAAGTACCTAATTATCTATATCTATCTATAAATAATAATATATTACCTTTCGGTATCCTTAGGAACAGTAAAGTATGAAAAGTCACCATTCCTATTGTTATTTAAGCACCCGTATGCTCTGCAGCACCTTTTGGCTTTATGAGAGGCCATACTTGAATAAAAACTCAAAAATAAATCTCAAAAGTGCCTAAATACTTATTAGAAAAAAATATTTTTTATGTATGTTTTAAATAAATTAATTGAATTGGCAATCGCACTAAACAATCTAATGATTGGTTTGGGGGTACTGCCGTGCCCCCAGATTACTGAAAGTATTGAATGATGATTCGGTCAGAGGGGATGACACCGTACTAAATACCACTAGCCCTAAACCTCAGAATAAATAATAGTACTACGTACCGACACGTACTCGGCCAGTTTTTGTTACTGTCTGTTATAATTAGTACCTAGTCAAAAATACTTTAAACCTTATGTAGTTACACCAACCTACCTACATACAGGCCGTCCACAGTTATTTTACTTTTTTCTCTGAAGTTATATATAGTCTTTTTATAATTTTTAAATAGCTATAATAGGTAGCTTGAGATTTCTTTCTACAGAAAAAGCATGTTATTCTATATTACATTATATTGGACAAAAACTTAATTATAAGTAAATCGCCAGCGGTAAAATAGCTGTGAATGGACTGTAGGTGGCGCCTTGATCATGATTTTGGATTTAAAATGATTTATTACTCACCAGTCTCATTCATTCGTTCCCCAATCTCTTCCCATATGTTGTCCCGCCTTTGCCGATTCATATAGTGGGGATGTTGCAAATTATACAAGTCCTCATATTGTTGTACAAACAATATTAATGCTATTTCGTCCATTGGTTCGTGGGTATATGATTAGTAACTACGTGCGCGTCGCTTAGCTCTGCGGGCGCGAATGACAGACAGGCACGAGGCACCAGCCAGTGCTGCCATTAAACTAGTTCTCCGCAAGATTAAACTTTTAAAACCACCAACACAAAGCGACCATACTCTCATAATACCTATTTAGGGATTATGAGAGTATGGTTTAGTGAAATATTTATTTCACTAAACATTTTTTTATTAAGGAAGAAAACAATAAGTATATTAATAATTGGTTACCTTTATTATTTCATACATTTGTGACATTCCTTGGAGGAGGCATATGTTCAGCAGTGGACTTGTGAAGGGCTGTACTGATGATGATGATTATCATTATTATTATTATTACATACTGTGTACCAAATATTAAATGTCTATGTTAATAGCCAATAAATCAAAATACAATAGGAAATTAACAAGTCAACATCAAGAATATATTATTTAATTAACTGCTATTTTAAATTAAATCGTTTTCTTCAGATTAATTATTTTTGTCGACACCATCGTCGTCGGTTTTAGATTGATATAATTTATTTGTACCAATTTGTTTCACAACGTTTATCGGAATTTCAATTTCTTTCTCTAACCGCAGTGTACACTTAACACTTAAAAATATAATTCGAAACAAAAGTCGAAACCACCAGTTTTAGTGGAAAATCCACGAAGTTGGCAACATTACACAACACTGAGTATCCACACGCGCCAAACGCGCCGCGTTATATGACGTCATCAGCATTCGTCCTTCGATATCGTATACCTACCGCATTTTATAAAATTCGGCGCGTACGGTGCGGGTGTAGTGTGCGAGGTTTCATATCCACAGTGGTAGAGCCACGCGGCAGCTTTTGCTGTCGCACGGATGGGCCGGCTCGAACCGGGGTGGTACCACGACCTCACAGAATACCAGCGTGAAGTAGAGGTTTACCTCTGCGTTTCGCTTGGTGAGTGCAGGTGGCCGGAGGCCCTTTTTACTGGAAATGAGGCATTCCATCTTAGTCCTCACGGGTGGCAACGCATCTGCATTTTGATTCGCAAACGAGGAAAAATGTAGATGTCTATGGGCCGCAGCAACCACTTACCATCAGGTGGACTGTGTGCTCGTTTGTCACCCTTATCCTATAAAAAAAAAAAAAAAATATGATTTCATACAACAAATTCTAAAATTCGGCGCGTACGGCGCGTACGGCGCGGACATATGTGCGTTCAGCTTAAGGGTTAAAGAGGTGGATAAGGTATTATGCTCCGCTCGCAGAATATATAATAGAAAACTACAATTACCTAAATATAACAACTTATACGGAAAAAGAACTGTAATCTATGTTATACCTAATCTAATCAATCAGTTTCCTAAGTCTTTGAAAGACGTCATTACACGTAAAAATATAAAATTTGAGGTAAAAAAAAAATATTTACAATTAAATATTACTAAATACTCGTAACACTTAAAAAAACTTCTCGTTCTACGTTATTGCTTTACTTTACCTACATATTATTATACTAGTTTCATTGTGTGCGCCTACAATTATTCTTTATTTATGTACCCACATTTAGTTTGTTAAATAGATATATATTAAATTTAATAATGCACCTAATTTTAGTTGGTAATAATATTAAATGTAACTTTTGTTATGTAATGTGTAGAATAGAATAATGTGCATGTAGGAAATATAGGGGGTATAGTACAGAGACTGATTTTGTAGTTAGGAATAATAATTAATTCGTTTACACGAATTAATTATCCAACGAGTCGAGGATAAACTAGTAACGCAATACGACAAGCGCACCGTTCCACGTCAGAGCCAAGACTGTCTTAACGGCGGCCGCTCCGTCCGTTTTATACAAGCAGGACGGGTGGCAACGCAGGTGTGCGGTACACGTGTCGTTTACAAGAATTCTGTCTAGCTAGACCGACGCCACCGCACCTACAACGGTGCAGGTGCCGTCACGGCCATACTGACATGCGTGCGTCCTCGCACGCGCTCCATCACAATTTTAGTTATCTGTAGACAAAAAAACATCGTTAGACTATCCTGACATAACAGCGTCTGGTCCGGTCTATATTGACCCTTCAGACTTGCGTGACAGTCAGTTTTGTTCCGGCAGTAAGCCCTACAAAACTTTAATCATCTTTATGTTAGATCGGAATGATTAGTCTGTAGCTTTTTCTATTTTCTCTTTCTTTTTTTCAAGTACTGTTTTCCCTAGTCCGGAATAACTATTCCCTATAGCCATATCATTGGACCGGCACAAAGCCCTGCAATGATAGTAAGAACTATTTTTTTTCTTACGCTTTTTTTTTTCAAGTACTATTTATGCTAGTCCGGAATCACTATTCCCTTTAGCTATATCATTGGACCGGCAAACGCCCTGCAATGATAGTAAGAACCACATTTTTTTTCTTACTCTCTTTTTTTTTTCAATTCAGTATAGAACAGTTACAGACCAACCATACCGCAAACATGTCCCCGTCACAATCACACAAAAGTGTATCGTGAGGGACGTAGTGACACACGATAACACCTAAGTATGTAAACCAACAGCAACTCGACACATATCCCAGTGCAGCACAGACCAGCCTCCCTGCAACTTCATGTTCCTTTCCTGAAATGGAATAATTACTTCGCTAGAGTGTTGCAATGTCTCTAGTATTTTCTAGATGCACAGACACGGCTACCTCTGACTGTCGCACGTCCTCGTGCGGTTGACAGTGAACAGCATACGGTCTATCAGTTATCACCACCTGCTAACAGATACTAACTCTTGTTAAATATTACAACGGTCGACCATCCCAGACTTCATTTAAGTCATGGACGCGCCGATATGGCTACCTCCAGGCAAACGCACTCCAACTTTCCCTTCTGATGCGTTCGTGCCACATTCACGCTAGCGAGCCGTCGCGCCGTACTGGCGCTAGCGAATCGTCGCACTGCTTTGCAAAATTAAAAATTAAGAGAAATGGAGATAAATGTATTGCAAACCATGGAGTTCCGAGATTCTCTTAAGAAACGGCAACTGTATGCCATTTGAAAACATTGCAAAAAAGGGAAACTATGTGTAAAGACAAATACTACAACATATTTCAAAGGGAAGGAGGCAACCTCGCAAAATCTAGAAAGCCGTCCAAGCCTCAGACGTCCATTTACAGCGCCAAAGCACCATTTGTTCGGCGGTCGCTTGAATTGCCTTGCCGTAAGATCAGCCGATAAGTTACGGACTGTAGCGGTGTAGGCTCAATTTTACTAGCGCTCGGCCGTTCCTGACCATGTTCGATTAGCCATCACAACGTCTTCCTCATTGATCATTGTTGTAGAGACCTCTACGAATCCCTCGAAATCAAACCCAAATCTTGTCAACGACACAATATTCGGAGCAAACTGCAACACTGATCAACACATTAGAACACAAAAATGTCACTTATTATTTTTAATTCATAGCGTGTTAAAGTTAATCCTTTATTGTAGTACAACCCTTAAAAGTTTTGAACTTCAAAATATAGCACATGATAATCATGTTTCGCGTGAACTATCAAATTACAACAAAACGAGAGCAGCAGGAGCACCTGAGGGTTTACAGGCATCGTCGGGGTTGTAGTCATCATGATCTGCATGAAAAATAAATTGTTAACTATAAGGACAACATACACAGTTGCCTGTTCTCTTATCTATCACACATACGAGGCCCTAAAACAGAAATACGTTCTCATACCTTGGACTATAATAAAGCACTTCGCTTTCACAAGTAAACATAGGTCTTCATACGAAGTATCTGACACATACTCTTACTTGAACACGTTAACTACGTGAACCACATTAAAAACGTGAACCAGGACAGCGCCTGCCAGGACAGAGCCTAATACATGTTCAGAAAACATTACCGTGCACACAGCATACGACTTCCGCGCACACAGTGTGACTCCCACGTATACAGAGTACACGACTTCCGAGGCATCGCCATGTACAGCATACGCGCGCTCCGGGATGGCGCCTGCGTATACGCGCATACGCATCTGCCGAAACCAGGCCATGTTACAGCTGGACCTGGCAGTCCGTTACGACCAGCAAGGCACACACTCACGCACTTGTAATCACATCACACGTGCTACTGTAACACATAAAAGAAAACATTAAAAATACTCAGTCGGAACTTGATTTCAAGAAATGCAGCACTACTATTAGTACACCATTCGCCTTTCTAGGGCACTAAATACTGAGCTGCGGCTACACGACAACCTCTGGTATGGTCCGATCCTCATGTAAACTTAAATACTCTCTTCAATGTCAGAACAAATTGGCTCTACTTCACTTTCATCAGTTATACTTCGGTTTTCCGGCATTTTTCGCAACCAATTAAAAATGTAAACACTCACTCTTACAAAATAGTTTCTGAGCCAATGTTAAGGATAAATTTACTTTCCTCGTGTATCTAATGGTGATCAGTAGTAGCGACAAATAATAAGTCCGCGGCGTCATAAGCCGATAGCATACTCAAAAGCGAGCGCTACAACTCCACGCTTTCCACCAAACCATTCCTAGTTTGTCGACTACGTAATGCTCGGAGTAAACTGTAACACTTATCATCACATTAGATCACAAAAATACTACTTAGTGTTTTTAAGTCATAGCACGTTAAAGTAATCATGTTCTTTTTTTCGGTACATCGTTTAAACATTTTGAACTTTAAAACTAGGCCATGTAAATCACACCTCGTGTATCAAATTATAATATTACTTGAGTAAGTTAAACTTCCACTAAATGCAAACTATAACTCATTCAGAATATCTCCAACATTTCTTTCATTTGTTAACATATTTAGGTACGTCAGAAATAATGAAAATACTTGAGGGTACTTTTAATACAAATCGAAGAAAAGGATTTATCTTTTGGCTTAAATAATTTTACTTTATCTTTTCTCTACACTGTAATGATACGACAATATCGTAAGTAGCACAGCAAATTTTATTACGGTATTTAACATAA